GTACTTACAGTACGGCAGTGTGGGATGAGACGCCATTCTTCTTACGTTGTTGATGTTCCGCTTGATCATCTGGGAGGTGAAGAGGAGGAAGAGAAGATTCTTAGCTAACATTAGTGGAAAACCAAGTACTTCATTATGGTAAACAGTGACCTTTCTTACAGCAGGGGTCCTTTACAGGTACGGAATATTGCTGGGTTCACCAGAGTGATAAAGTGACGTCTTTGTGTCATTCAGACATGTATGATCATAATGTAAGTGTTCATTATAGCTTTATTCAAACATCACAAGACCATTATGGAAAGAGGTACAATTCTTCTATCTGGCACCTACTATAGTACATGAAAACAAGCTAGTTAGAAAGTAATGATAGAAAGGGAGAAGAGGATTTTGGTTCTCCCACAAACTGCATCAGAATTGAATTTTAAAATTTCATTTGCAGTTTAAAACTTCATTACGGACCATTTTGAGTATGAGGAATGCTGTTTGCTGCTCCTCAAAGTCAACAGCCTAATACACTTTTTCATGAATTTCATAATTCATTAAAGAATGTTGCTGCCTGCTTTATAATGTACAACTGCGTCCAAGTATACAATGACAAGGAATTAAGTTGGAACTCTAATTACATATAGCATGTGAGAAAATAAAATGTTTTTGTGGATATTGATATTAACATTCATGCATCTGCCATGGTAAATTGAAAAGTGATTGAGAGGTGTATGACATCACATGACCCTGAACAAGAGACTGAATGGACATGATAAACAGATGACATCAGCACTTAAAACATACGTATGTCTAATTTACAGTGTTTCGTGGTTTATTGAAATGACTATTTGTCTTTGAAATAAGCCAGCAGGCGCTTACACTTATTACACTGCTAAGGTGGAAAGATGTTTTATTTCTCTGCCTATTTAACCAGTAGCCTTTATGTTAATGACTATATTTAGTTCAGGGTTAAGTCACAGAAATGTTGCTGTAGTAGGTCTGATCTATTAAGAGTGATGTTAAATTTATGTAAGTGAAAAATGCTGCAAAATTTTGTATTCATTAAGGTGCATATCTGGAATTTTAATCATTGCATATTTAATGCCGCATTTAAGCTATAGCACAATGACATGTTGTTCTATTATCATATAGCATAAATTGCCTTAATATGCCATAGCTCATTTACAGTCCTGTATTATGCCTGGCAGCCCAGAGAGGGAGACATTAATAGCACTGTCTGCCCAAGACTTATTTATTATTGTCTCCAAATGTATTCTGCTCCAACCTTGAACAAACTGTCGGACCAGTTGGCAAAATAATGACGATGCAGAATGGCTCTTAACGTCCAGTCTGAATATCAAGAGCAATGAGAGAGCTGGGTAATATCGACAAACATGACTCACAGCTCCTCAATTTGAAGACACTGCTACAATCAGAACCAAATTAATCTCCCTCCCGCTGCTAGTGCCAACCTTTTCTGCTCAGTAAAACAGATTCTTCCATAAAAACAGGATGTCTGGAAGGGATGTAAGCTCGGTACCCAACAAGCAGTAGAAGTCAACATCTTTGGTCCTTTGTAAGTCAGTGAGAGAAGGTAATGTTAATAGTGATCATGCTTTCAGCAAACTGAGCCCAGACAGAGATGAATTACTAATTTAAGTGATTTTATCTGAACAAAGACAGGCAGATTCAGAGCAACAAACATCATCAATTCATTCCAGAAATGTTGTGAAGACTATGGCAGTCACCACTGTATTGTGTATGGAAGCTTAAGGGACCATACTGCTGGTTTATTATGGTTTAGTCAAACTGCATATACTGTACTTGACTGGCCTGAGCATACTGTAAGTCTTAATAAGATTCATTTCCAAACCTCAAAACATCAACCTACAAAGATTAACCACTTAGAAGAAGAAGAAGAAGAAGCAGCTTTATTTTATTGTCATTGTAACATTGTGACACGTACAATGAAATTTTGTTTGGAGCCGAGGTGCCCCGGGCTCCGAGGTCAAAAGATATGTTTTTCAAACCAGTGTGACTCATTTCAAAGACAGACCATGGAGGCTCCCTGTGCAGGTACAAACTAGGATGGGAGCAGACCTGTTAGACCCAAGAGGTCATGTTCTGTAGCACAGAAAGAGTACAGCAAAGAATGAGGCAAAACCAGGGTTAACATCAGTTTGGTTACCATCTCATTTCCTGAGCTGGCCTAATGCTCTAGCTAGTTTCACAATCTCTTGTCGTTTTTTTTTTCTTCAGACATGAAGGCAACGTACAGTAAAAGGCACCCCTAAATAAAAATATAAAAGTGCAAACACCACACAGGATGTGTTTTTCAACATGTAATCATATACAATACTGTATGTATAGTGAGGGGCCAAGTTTATGTTCAAATCCCCACTAAAGGAAGTGATGCACCTAACGTCTGGGACCCTGTAGTCTACTCTGATTGGTTTGTAGACTCAGAACTGAGGTCTTCAGTTGGACCCTCTTGTAATAATATTATAATTGCTTAATTAAAAATATACTGTAAAAAACAAAGAATTGTGATAATGCAATGCTGTCATTTTAACTATTTGGTGGTTTACTGACATGATATGCAAAACAGCTACATGAAATGAAAGCAGCACACATACAGTGGTATACAGCATTCACAGCTGTGAAGCTGGAACTAGGAAATATTAGGTAATTTTACCTGAAAAATGATAATCATTCATCAACATAGTTGCCTCATCTAGAAATGTACGCACAAGCCCCTCATTACCTTTATCCTACTGGCCCATGCTAATATATTTTATATACTACTCCTATACCTACACTATAGCTCTGTAGGCACAAAGTTGCATTCTTAATAATATAGTATGCTTTGAAAAATAGATGGCAGCTATGAATAGTATAAACAATTTGCAGCTAATGGCTGAAAATATGCAACACAACTGTCATGGTCCTTTAATTCAATGATGAGATGATGACCACACACTACTCACCACACAATGATCTCCGAGTGTGGTCAAGATGTCAGTAATCTTCGCTCAATTTACAGTATGTCACTGCCATTACTGTTCCAGCACCCTAATCTTCTGTGTGCATTCACCAGACAACCCCTGCTGATTCAGATATTATCATCACATGCATATGCAGATTTAGTGCTCACCACAGATGCGCCCCTGCCTGTCTGCATGCCTCCCAGCCACGGCATGTTGATGGGTGTACCAGGGCTACTGTGGGTGTACGGTGTGGTGCCATGGAGGGCGGCAAAGTCATTGTGCGTATGGACCACCAAGAAGTCATCACCCCCAACGCTACCAACACAATAGTAATTAGACTTTTAATATTCATGGCATGACTGCATATGTATTCATTTTAGAGACTGATCATCCTTCGAGGGGAAAAAGATAATTATAAAATAATTAATATCTTGTTTACAAAACTGTGTGCATTTAGTAAGCTATGCAGAGAAGAATAAAAACAAGTTATGACAGAAGGTGGCCCTTTTATAAGATTTTATAACAATATCTCAAGAAGCAGCCATGCATAAATACATATAGTATCCAGTACATATAGTTTTTGGTATGAGGGTAAAAAGGTGAGTTGATGTTACTCTGGATGAACCCTCTCAGCCTTTTGTATGTCAAGTACAGTATACCCATGCAAACATCATATACAGTACACAGATTAGTCTCTTACCCTTTAGTTTCAGCCTCATCATCATCAATCCATGTCAAGATCTGTGTAGCCAAGATGGATGACACATCCAACTCTTGAATGTCATGGGTAGAGGCCATGACTAAACAATTACGATTTGCCTGGGAGATAGAGAAATGAAGTGGGGAAAGTGGGTGACAGGGATGATGGGACAGGGAAAACAGGGTGGGGCCCAATACACTGAAAAACCCATGAAGTCCTTAGACAGAAACACAATACAGTGCGCTGTATATTGTGTTGTTCCATGACATCTGTGTAAAAGAGCTGTACCTTGTTGATGGCAAAGGCTGTGATGATATCAGATTCCTTGTGGATGATGCGTGCCTTTCCTCCGGGGCAGGCCAGATCTGACTCGGTCTACAAAAAGGCACACACATACAAATCACCACCATGCAAATTCAGTTATTAAAGGTGAAACATTAACACTGCCTGCAGACAAATAACAATGATAACTTTAGATGCACTTCCTTTCATGTTACAGAACCAGTGACCTGACAGAAGAGAGGTTGATAAACTAAGTATCAAATTATTTGCTGCAGAAGACGATGGAGCTCAAGTAAAAAGAGAAGAAAGCCTCAGCATGGGCCTGCTCTTTGTTTTCTACACTATGTGATATGTGCAATCTATGTTTACTGTACAGTATGTGTTTGTTTGTTTTACCTTTAGGGGTTAGGAGAGGACGTGAGGTGCATTAGGCCACACTGTTAATCATAGCAGCCACTAAGCCAGTTAGTGCCATTAGATAGTATGTGTGACCCTTGCACAAGCACACACTGGAAGTCCTGTGGATGTAGCAGAATATGCTAAAGTGTGGCTCTGCATCCTTTGAGCACTGAGATTGAATTAAAGTCTTGACTGCATTTTATTCAAGAGGAAAAGACAGTCTTTTTCTCAGATGGAATAAAATAAACAATCACTTGTAAAAATCTAAATATGGTGGATTTCTATTTTTGTTGAGCACACAATCCTCATGGGATGCAGATTCACTGCGACGGTGTTGGCCCATTAATCAGAAACTATTCAGCTTCATGGCTTGTCCTCCGAGAGACTGGGTTAATTAACAATGAGCCAAATGGAACAGCTATGACATAGCAACTTGTGAAGCAGGAGATTAGAAAACCTCTATGAAGCGGACAGTGCAGTTTAAGATTTATGGCCCACATTCACATGAATATTTAGACAGCTAAATGTAAGATTAATATGAAACACTGACAGGGACATTCAGACTTCATCGGCCTGAAAAAGCACATACTGTAATTCTCTCAAGATAACAATTTTAATATTTCTGTTTCTATGGGGCAGGCCACATTACTACTAATCTAATGTAGGAGGCACTTAAAAGGCACACACAGTGCATGTTCCCATATCTAATACAGTTTGTGCTACCCAGACTGAGTCAAAAGGTATCAGAACATCCGTACACAGTACAATGCTGTTTAATCATTTGCATTGTCAAATAAGTTGTACTGGTTTTTAGAAAAAATAAATCCCAGGTTTTTATAAAGATGGTGCAAAAAATCTCAGATAAAACAATACTGTATTGTAGTATAGGTTGATTCTTGAAAACTTATTTTATGATACAAATAAACTTTATGATTTAAGGTTGTACTGTGTGATGCTGACACCACCTTTTTAGACTGGCACTCTGGCACGTCACAGACTGAACAACGTGCTGGTAAACAGTGTGACATTTTCCTTTGTCACCTGTAACAAAAACTATATTTCTGCAGGCTGCATATCAAAATCATGCAGCCCTACAGTACATGTGAGAAAAAGATATTTTAATGATATACTATGATAACAAGCAAATACTGTAGCTTGGCTTGATATACAGTACAGGGAGATATTTAAATGCCAGGATCATCCCCCAACAGCACTGTGCCATGTTTATTCCAACCCCAGGACTAAGAAATGTATATGTCACAACAATGCAATTATCTTATTTTGCGCATATATATATATATATATGTGTATACATATATATATGTATGTATGTATGTATGTATGTATGTATGTATGTATGTATGTATGTATGTATGTATATATGTATGTGTGTGTTTTGAAAAACATAAGCTAAATGCTAAAAGCCATACAAAAATGTAACCTTAATATAATATTTTAAGGTTCCTAAAGTTTAAATAAAATCAAGTAACATCATTTTTAGCAGTTTTCAATTCAATAATTATTGAACAATGTTCTGAGGTTTGACACCCAGGCTATCCCATCCCCTGATCCCATCCCCCGCAGTACCTGATTGCTTCCTGTCTCGTCCATCCCTGAACATTTCATAATGTCAGTCTGGTCGTCAACCAACTTTAATGGTTGGAGGAAACAGCATGCACGCACACACACAAAATAACATACAATAAATGAACCACGCAAACAGAACCGGAATTATTGTGCTGTTAATCAAATGGGCCATAATTATTTGAATGAAATTAAAAAGCATCATCATACAAACTGCAGGCAGTAATAATGCATGTGGAACAAAAATCACAATTGTACCAAAAGAGATGTAAAAATAATTATGCAGTCTGCCTAAAACAGCGCAGAAACGTGTTGTGGACTGATTCATAACTAAACAGTTAATGTGCTATTCAGTAACATTTAACATAATGTGCTAGCTGTAAAACATGGAGACAGATCTTGCAGTGGGTTGACATGGTGTAAACACTATGTACCTCATTCAGGTCCGGTTTCTTGGTAAAGATATTTCTAATAAAAGTCTCCTGCACTTCTTCCTGCTTGACCAGAAACTGCCACAACCGTTTCACTGGCAGTGCTGAATGGTGACTAGTCCTGAAAAAAATAGAACACCTGCATATTAACAGTAATGCTCATTAAATCAGTTTTACCAGTTCACTGAAGCAAAACTAAATCTGATTTCTGATTTGTGCTACTGGCACTGATCTAAAACTTTATATATCTGGGGCAAGACACATCAAATGCACACAGCTGTTGCTCCTACAAGAACAGTAAACCCCCACAGTAGGCCCATGTACTGCACAGGCCACAGCTATGTAAAATTTCTAAAAACTATTTACTGGTAGGGATGTGTTGTGTTGTACAAAACTGTAAGCACAATATGGTGCACCCCTGGTCAAATTCCATATGTTACTAGTTACTGAAGTGAAAACAGGTGAATACAAATTTAAAGCCAACTTTTTTCCAATGTTAGTAGTGTATACTGTTACTTTTTAAATTGTGAACTGAAAAATGACTTTAATATTGTGATGTGCAAAGTACTTAGTACTGAAGTGAATTCATACAAACATGCAAAAGCTGGTGGATTTCAAATTCAATCTAAATACCAAAAAAGACATTTCAGACTTCTCATAAACATCTTTTAACTACTGCTGTTGCTGCTCCAACTCCAGATGTTAACTACCTGAATGGGGTGTTGGATTGTTCAAACAGGGCCTTGTGTCTGAGCAGGGCAGGGCCAGGTGCTGTCGCTTCATCCTGGAGATGGGTTGAGATGTACTTTTGAGGGGGGCCTCTGAAAATCTCCAGCCTTTTCTGCAGCACCTGCTCCCAGCGCTGCAGTGTCTTCAGCACAGCATGACACAGAGGAGAGCCCACAGGCAGATCTGCATTAAACAGAAAGCAGGCAGACACACACAAGAAGGCAATGAGATTAACTGAGACAGGCAGTGAGAAATGGGGCAGCACTTATCTACATTCTAGGTGTTAGTACATCAGAGGGTGTGTGGTGTATTTGTGTGTTTACCTAATAGATCATATCCTGCCATTGGGTAAAAGGACTTGAGGTTGACCAACACCAGCTGAACCATTGCCAGACGCATTAAACACCAACTGGGAGGAGCAGAAACAACAAGGTTGTTTTGGAGCATAAACACTAAATGCTGCCAAAAACTCCTGGGTCAATGGAACGACACAATGAACTTTAAACACATGCAGGTTTACTCTAGGTAGCCTGAACTTAGATGAAGATGAGTTAGTGTTTGCAGTAAGAACCATTCAGTGCTGTTATTACCTGTATGAGTTATGGTTCAAATGCTCCCTTTTGGGAGAGTGGGGGTCAAACACATCTTCAAATTCATCATCATCTTCATCTTGACTGTCCTGGCTCTCCTCTGAGTCATATTCAATTCTGTTTTCTGATGATGGCAATAATGGCTAAAAGACACAGAATGAAGAAGACAGGCAACTTTTATACTAACCCTAACCATAATTACTGTATTGTACACAAACCCTGAATATTAAACATTATTCTAAGGAAAAGTCAACCATGTTTTAATTGACTTTTGTTTATACCTTAGCAATAAAGTAATCCCAAATGCTGAGCTCTGGAGGGACAAATCGCTCTTTAAAGGTGGAAGTAGCTCCTTGTTCTACCACAGGGGCATGCTTGGGACTGGAACAGCCCTCCGGCTCTATCCCAGACTCCTCTCTTGATCCACTGCGAGATGACCGAAATCTGAATCGTCTGGACTTCCAGTCTGAGCCGCTTGGAGAGGCTGAGGTGTTGAGAGAAAGCATATGTTTAAATGCTAAATCTATGGGCACTCTGAGTAGCTGAGTGGTTTCACAGGCATCCATATATGGGTGCACAACACCCACAGCTCGAATCTGGCTGCAGACATTTGCTCTAGGTCTCCCCTCCTTTTCTCTCACCCTGCTTTCCTATCTGGCTCCCTACTGCGTATACTAAGCCTGACATGTTTTTTTTTGCTAAGGACATTTACATCAACATTAAATATCTGATTATCATCCTTTAAAAAAATACAACAACAACAAACTACTGGAGTTCAAAATGTATATATTTTGTCAAAAAAACAGAAGTTACAGTTTGATTATATCAGGTTTCCTCTGCCAGCTGAGAGAGCAGCACAGACAGGGTATGGGAAACAGCCCCCACACTAATAGGTTCATAGATTTCACTACGATCTGCAAATGGGAACCCAATTCATTTATCTGGACCAATGTGATTTACAGAAACTACTGGCTCACGTCAATAAGAAAAACTCCACACAGCAAGAGACAGCCACTCAGAAAGACTGAATGAAAACAATAAACCAATCACCTGGTGAGGGTGATCTTGTTGGGCTCATGGGTTTCTCTGTGACAGGGGTCTGGACACCTCCTCCGAACACTTTCACCCAAAGCTTGCTGTTGAGGGGGTGGGCCACAATGCGAAATAGCTCGTTGCTGGAGTGAGTGGCCATGCCATGAACAAACAGACTGAGGAAGACAGCAGTCAGGATCTCACAGAGCAGCACAATCAAGCCTGGTTGGCACTCCTCACCTGGTGAGCTCAACAGATGAATCAGAGAGGCAATACCTGGAGAGAGAGAGAGAGAGAGAGAGAGAGAGAGAAAAAAAAGGGACTTAAAAAATGAGACTATATATAAACCATTTTAATTATTTACATCTTTAATAGGAATGAATGGGCTTGGAGCCAAATGTTACAGGCAGGCAAGGGAAGTTTGCACGTACAGAAGACAAAGGCCTTATTGGCTCTGCTCTTTTATTTGCCGACAATGAGAAGTTTTTTCTTTTTTAATTTTGGTTGACTTACCTGGCCACTGCACAGGAGAAGTGTTGGGCTGAAGAGACTCATCCATGCTAGCAGTTCTGAGTGACTGCTTCTGAGACAGCAATACACTCTGATACACAGTCCCCGTAAAATGGTTCACATGGCTGTGGGAGAAACAGACAGAAGAAATGGACCCTAATGAGTCAGCATGAGGGTGACAAAGTAAACATTTAAATTACAGTACTTAAGTTCTCACATCAAGTCACTCTTCAACACATGCACACAAAAAAACTTGGATGGTTGGCCAGAGTATGGAACGCTTAACCCAGCAAGGAGTTGATTAAGTTTTAAATATTCAAAAAAACAAAAGGGAACATCATTCAGAAGGAGAAGCAGCCAGTCACTTTGGATTTTTTTGCACTTCAAAATGTAATCAATAAAATCACACATTACTGCAAAGATACAGATACAGTAACCTCCAGTGCTCTAATGCTTCATATGGATGTACCAGTTGGCCATTTCCTAAATGAGCAACTAAATTAAAGTTAACGTGACAACAAAGAAAGAGCTTAGCAGCAACATTCAACCCCAGCAACCAAGATCCTGAAATACCTTTTAAAATATTCACATTCCTACACACACTCGAGAAGAAAAAAAGAAGTGCAAATTCATCAGACCTCTGCAGCGAAACATCATGAGTTTATAACATAATAACCATAACAAAGACGGTGTTAAATTAAAAACAGCCTTACTAATTTAGTTAGACTCCCAGCAGTATGGAAAAGATGGATGTGTAAAATATATGTAGATAAGAAAGATGCAAAACTAAGTGCTCATTTAATCACATTCCTTAGAGTTTTGCAAATACTAGGTCTGAAAGAATACGTTTTTCCACTCTTAGTACAGCTGTAAGCCAAATAGGTTAAAAGAAAAAAAAAAACACGAGTGACTGTGATTTTTATTTACATCCAACATGTTTTTCTTTTTCCATGCTTTTAATTACATCAGTTTAGTGCTTTGTAAAACCAGGCTAAAGCATGTGCAAAGGTGCTTTCTTTCACAAATCATCAATTTATTAAATATTAAAAAGCATTTTTCAATTTGCTGTTTAAATGCATTGTTTGACTTGAACTGTATCTGTGCATTATTATAAAGTATGCTTGGTTACCAGAAGACATTTCCCTTCCCTCTCATTTCTTATTATTTTGCTCCTGTAAGCCTTCTAACACACACACACACACACACACACACACACACACACACACACCTGCTATTAGAGGACACATATTACCTATTAGAGGACACAAATTAACCCTATTTTTGCCAGCATTTTGTCTATTAAATACTAATGCTAAGAACAGGATAACAAAATCAAATTAGTCATGACTTTTGAAAGAATCCAGTGGAGGCTAGTGCCGCTAATGGCACTGTGTCAAGGTGAATGTGGTAGACAATGAAAAAGTTGTTAAGCATTTGTTAAGATGTAAAGAATTGAATTTTCTCGCTTGGAGAGATGCCGTTCTTTAGATATACATTAAAAACTCCAACCTTTTGAGTCAGGCTGTATATAAGCTTCTTTCAAAAACTGTGCTAAGAATGTGCAAAAATTTTCTACCCCCAGATCCAAACACCATTGTAAACCAAATTAATGGCTTAAAAATAGAATGGTAATAGGTGAGAATATTTAGTAAATGCTCAGGGGAAAATGTGTTTACTAACCTGTAAGTGTGTCCATCACACAAACACTGATATATACAGGCAGACAAGGAGGCAGCCAAGGTATGCATCACATAGATCTGAAGTAAGAACCATCGTCAAAAAACATGAATTAGCACCAGTGTGAGCAAAACACAAAGTTAGTACTGGATGGATCAGTTTGATACAGACTCAAGTTCTAATGAACGCTAATGTTGTTCAGCATCTGTTGGATGTGTAAATAGGCAAGTTTTTACTTAGAGATTAGGTGTATATCAACTCAAAATGTGATGTCAGTGTTGTGTTAATGTCCACAACATTCTGATACATAGCGCAAATCTTAAAAACTGTCATATATATTGTCTCATTTACTCATCTACCAGCAGCAGCATTTTCAATACAATCTAAATTCCCTGCTGCTGCTAAGAAAACATTGAAGCCCACTCTTATCTATTTGGATCCAAAAAGGAAATAAATAAATGTGACATGAGACTGCTTCACCTCATTGTTAATGACATCAGGATGTGGAGGAGAATCAAGTGCATTGATGGTCTGCAAGATGTCATGAGTCAGGTTGGTCAGGTGGACTATGGGATTTGCCACCACCGTCTTTACATTGGCTGTGCAAGCCATCAGAAGAGGGATAGAGGTGGGTTGGGAACTTGATGTCACCACTGACTGGATGGAGTCACCCTGTGGAGAGAGGACAGTGTCCATTCATTATATCTGCCCTTAAAAAAAGTCCTAATAAATGCAAACACTGTCATGCACAAAACAGTACATAAAGATACACCACTCTATATAAACCTTACTTTTTAATTGCTTTACACAACCTGGTGCTTAAGACATAGCATGTTTTCCAGCGTACAGTATGTATGAAATTTTGGCATTGGAGAGGTGTGTGGTTTTGTGTGCATTTAGTAGACTCCTGAACATGAACAGGCTATAGTACTTAGATAATATTACCACCTGTCTGTGATGAAAGTCTTGGTTGAAAATATGCAGAAGTATCTTAAATCAGAAGGGCCTCCAACCCAGAGGAATACCTGTATTTATCAGGTCTGGAACCTGAAGGGCCTTTCACTCTACATTAAGAACAAACTAGGGCAGCAACAGATATTATTACATTTTTCTCAATTCACTGATTAAAAAGTAAAAATAAGAATAAACTGTCATCACAAGTTACAAGAGCTGTGCCTGCTCAGATTGTAACCCCCAAACACCCACCTTATATTTCTTTATTGATTGAGAACTGAAGTCAAGCCAAGATTTGTGAAACTTTAAGCAACTGTTTCTCATTTTTAACTCATAAAAGACTTGTTGTAATCAATTACCAAATATTGCTTTTTGTCAAATTTATTTAAGTCATATTTCTTTCTCCACATACTATATTTACAGACACAAAATCAAAGGGAGTGCGCAACATCAGCAAATCATCCTACTAATCACCAAAACTGTCATCGAATTTTTAAATGCTTTGCCAGGTAACTAATTACACTAATTATTTAATCACTACCTAAAAAAAAAATATGCCAAGGTGTGCAGCTCTCAGTTACAGAGACAAGCTGACTTAGCTGCCACTGAAACAGTGACATGCTCTCTCTCTATCAGTGACCTTTACCTTTGCTTGTGTGCACAATTTAATTACCTGGTGAGACTCTTGAAGCAATAATATGAGCTCCATGCGTACGGAAGCCAGTCCTCCACCGTGGGAGCCATGCAAGCTGCAGTAGCTCAGAAACATCCTCAATAAGGGCTGGTTACTCTGAAGCCAATGTCTCCTGTTCCTCTGGCTGTCACCATGAGGACTCCCAGACTGGAATTATTAATTTACAGACAAATCAGCTAAGATGCCGAGGTGATCCAGCTGGCTAGTGTCTGAGTAAAAACACCACAATGGTATGCCCAAAACAACTATGCTTTAAAACACTGTACATTAATTAGTTCAGTCAACAAATTTTTATTTTAATTAGTGAATACACAATAAAGTGTACTATAAAAAGGCAAGTATTTTAGGCTGAATTAACAGCTGAGCACAGAGCAAAATATAAAGCAGCATGTCAGAAAAGTTTGGTCTGACAATGGTGTAACAAACTCTTGAATAAAGCACACCTTTTCAACTATTTCACAGCACGCTGTGCTGCTGTCTTAATTTTTAATACAGCGACTGCTGCATCAGTTGTTCTCATGAACATTTGAAAATGTTTGAGTTGATAGCTATCAGCAGTATACCTACCTGTTCCTCCTCCACCACTGAAGAAACAGGGGCATCACCCTGGACAGACAGCTCTGGCAGGCAGGGCTTATAGCTGCAGCAATGCTGGAGAGCAACCACCTGGGGAGAACAGAATTTTATCTTACAAGCAATGTATCAATCAATTAACAAAATGTATCATCCCTCCATGGGAGTGAAAAAAGAACATTTCATCAAATTATCTTCAAAGCAAACAATATGATAAGAGGAAACCACTGACGTTATTACCAATATGAGGTTTTTATGCACCGACAGTGAACACATGGAGACAAAATGTCGAAACAGTGAACACTGAAAACAGGAAAGATGTGTGGAGTTATACAAGTTATAAAAGTTTTATTGAGATAACCTAAGGGTGCAGCCAGACTAAGCTTAACCAGACAGACAGATGTCATCACAATACTTAAACAAAAAAAATTATATGGATTTAACCTGTCTGTCAAAGTGTTTAAATGTGCGTGTGTGCTGTTACCTCTCTTTCTAACCACTGGTAGAGCTGGTAACGTAGCTTCCCTCCATCCAGTTCATACCCTGTTGACAGCGTTCGGAGCTCATTGGTCATAATCTTCAAGCAGGCAGTAAACTTCAACTGGGCCGCCAAGATGTCATCAGATGGTGTGATGAAGTCATTGCTGTCCTCACTGTCCTCTCCCGTCACCATCTCCATTAGTGGTGACATGGCATCCTGCGTGTCCTGGAACACACTAGTGTTGTCTGCAGTTATACCACTCTTAGCATTTTTAGTTTCTCCTTCATCCTCATCATCTTCTTCATTATCATCTTTGTCACTGTCCCACTTCAGCTCCAGGGGCTCATCTGGAAGCGTCAGTGGCGGTTGGCTCCAATCAAAACTTAACACTGATTCTGACCGGCTGATAGACAAGCTGTTCCCATCTGATTCGTAACCATTCAGAGCCGGCTGAGACCAATCTGGGTCAGATGCCTGTCCATTCTGATTCCCAACACTGAGCTCAGCAGTGATGTTTCTATCCTCCTGATAGGAGAGTTTGGAATGCTTGCGGACTTTGGGCATCTTGGAGAGGACTTCAAGTGCTAGCATGGGGCAGCGAGCTTGCAGGTGCGCATATGCAGCTGTGAAAAACAATCTTCTCTCTTCCAGGCTAATGGAGTCATGCCTGCGACTCTCAGTGGTTAGGCCAACTTTAGCCTTGTCCGACGAACCAAAATGGCGACGAAGGAGGAGCGGGTGGGTACGGAGGTAGGTGTAAAAGTTGAAAACCTCAGGGTTACATGTAGACAAAGAAGAGGAACCTGTCATAGATACAAAGGAACATAAAACTGGTTTTATCTGTGTTGGCAGCAAAACTCAGCCACCTTTACTTCTTTGACCAAAGTGCCTATAAGGACAAGCTGTGTTATTAGATCAGATGAAATGGAGCTATAGCTGGCCTGACAAAAATCTTTATTGAACCTCTAGAAGAAATGGGGCCTGTGTGAGCACCTACACACTGACAAATTCATCAGTCACTTTAGCATGGGTAGAGGGTGGAGTTGGAAGTTCAAGAACTCATAGTTTATTGAAAGGGGTTTGTGCACAAAAATGTGATGCATTAGGTTCACTCTTTTTCATCCAGGTATAAACATTGTCAAAGGACTAGCCAGCTCATACAGAGAACCCAGCTAGGACAGCATATCATCTATCAAGCAGAAGAACCAGCTTCAATTTTCTGGAAGTCTGTGTTTTCATCTCTGTAAAAATACAGTATTGGATGTGCTTTGGGAACATTATTTATGAAAAACATGTAGCACAGGCATGTTAATCTGGGAATCTTTTGGCTTTTAGGTCAAAATGAGGTTCATGTTAAGTTCAGTTCTTCATCTATTCTCAAGGTACTGTAAGCTTTTTATAGTTTCTTTAACTGAATGGTCTTTTGTGTCTGCTAGGCTTCAATTACTTATAATAACATACTTAAAAGGCCAAAGGTAGTTGCAAAGCCGAGACATAAAGTAGAGGATTCAGCCTCACAACATCCAATTTCACTCTGTAGTACTCAGTATCATTGTGCATAAAAATAAATGTTTTAATTTTGCATGGAGTAAAAATGAAAAGTAAATAAATGTAATTTAAAAACAGAAGGGAAAAAAAAGCACAATGAACACCGAAGACCTACCAGTGTCATATTTGTTCCCAGTGGACCCAGACCTGGCATTGTTAGCAGGCTGTTCAAGCAGAGTGTCCAAGGCTCTACTGTAGTCCTCCAAGACCCAGTGAGCCATGCTCCGTAGGAACGGGTCCCGGTGGGCTGGAATCTTAAATGCACAGAGTTACAATGGCTGATTCTGGTTTCATAAGGGCATTAATGATCAAAATGCTGGAGAATCCAACAGCACTGGCTAGTTCATGACACATTTTCCACTGTAAGAAAAATAATATGTTGAGGTTGTGACATACAAAACCCTAGGCACCTGTTTGTCTTGTCCTAGAACACGTCTCTGAAGGATCTTCTTGTAGGTGGATGCTGTCTCGTACTCAGACTCATACAATCTAGAGATCACAAGGGCCAACTGTAGGTCCTGCATTTTCTCTAGACACACCTGGATGAAGATGTAAAGCAATATATCACTTCTGAAGTTAGTTTTTGTCTTTTAAAAAGTGCTCACAACAAAGAGACAGTGGAAACTGTTCTGGTTGCACCCGACTAGTAAGGTGCGACTTGCATTTCAATGAGACTACCTCTCAGCCACAGAGACTAAACAAAGTCAGGGATAGCCTCTTTCCTGGGTGATGCTCATTTCAATAAAATGCTAGAGAAGCACCAGTTACTCACACAGATGTGATAAAGTGACTCATTGCTTCAGGGACTTTATAAACAGAAACCACCTTGATAAATAAAAGATTAAGAAAACAAGGTACTAGGAGCAGCCTTTCTGATATGCAAGCAAAAAGACGGAGAGCTGTATGTTGTTTTTTGTGTGGGGTTTAAACAGCCATTCTAACCATCATGCATAAACATGCAAGTTTATGCTTAAAACTAAAATGATGCGAAGACACATGAAATCAAAGTTGTAGGGAGAGTGCAACAGTATAGTGCTGCTGTTTTATGAATGTGATGTTACTGAAAACTCTCAAAAACAAGCAAAGATAGTTACACATCCAAGGGTCAACTGCCAACATCAATAACTCTTCAGTGTGCTAAAAGCTTCTGATTAAGACTCGACTGTACGAATGTATTGAGCTGTTTTAATAATAAGAAAGATACTGCATGCTACATAAACACCCGTGGTGGCTCTGCTGGTGTAATTTTTTTTTTTTGCTTCTTAGTTTCTCATCAAACACAGCTGTTGACTATGAATTGTTGGAAAAAAGGCATGATTACAATGCTGTAGTTTTTTTGTTTTTATTTGTTTGGTAATGAAAATGAGCAGCACTTAACTTCATTCATACTAAAAGCAAGGTTTCTGACATACTGTAGGTTTAGCAGGCTGGAAAGTAGCACTTGCAGCTGAAGTAACAAGGGCTTCTTGTAAAAACTGTGTTGTGTCTATATTCCACTTGCCTCCACAGCATCCTTAAGGGAACCAGCCAGAAGGAAAAAGGCTGCAGAATGTTGGAATCGCCGCTTTCCTAACAGAGAAAAGGCATTTTTCAATGCTGCTTTCCTCCATCGGTCTTCACTGAAGTTGTTGTGGAAAAACGCTGTCATTTTGGCATTCTTCTGAGACCTGGAGAGAATGACATTATGGATTCAAAACAGCAAAACTGGTTTCATAGGTCTTCAGTACCCCGACAGAACTAACCTTCTTTAAGGGTAGAGGCAAATATTGTGTGCACAGTTCTATTTACATGCAAAATCATGTCAGTTCTGCCTACCTGTACAATCCCCAGACTACTGCCTTCTTTTTCATTGCAAGGTAAAATATAGCAGCATCCAGAGGATCATTAGTCTTCTGAAAAGAAGCCTTGGCAACCTGAAAAAAATAAAAAATAGGCTCATGCCTACTCAGCCTATGGTATACAGACCTAACCAAGTAAGTTGTACCTTTAGGGGTTAGAGGGTAGCTCATACTTAGCTATAGTGCTGTAAAGGGCTGCACAATAAATCAATTTGTGAGTGATTTAGATCCCCGTTTGATCTCACTCTGACATGACAATGATTCTGCCGTGTTTGCATTATCATGGAGATACCTTGCATCAAACCATAGGCTCCTTTTTCCTCACAAAATTTCATTAATCAATATGATTATCAAATCCAATTCTTTAAGGGAAAAAAATATTGAAAACTGGTTCTGTTTATATTTTGCTTAGCATCTGACAAACAGTATAAAGCGAAGGAGGTATTTTCACATTAGTGAGGTTTGAAATAGATTTTACAGCACTTATGCCTGAAAATGACTAAAACCATTAATCGCTTATCTAAATAGTTTAATAACTTTAACATTTGAGCACAGACAACCAAACTAATAATGATAATTAGCTGCCCCACCTTCTCAATACACCTGCGTAGCTTGTTGATGCTGCGCAGCCACCAGCCCACACCCATAGAGCGCAGCTCAGGCCAGGTGGGCTCTCCCTTCTGTAGGGCAGGCAGCATGTTCAGCAGCTCCTCCTCCGCTTCAGAGTGGAAGGCCCATGCATAGTGACATGTTGACAGGCCTATAGAAAGAAGAAAAGAATATGGAAAATGGGGAACATTCTGTATCATTATCAACTTGGGTCAGTAAAAGAAGGAACACAGTGGGTTTTATTTAAATTTAAAGCAGTGAGTTGCCTCTTACAGCTGTACTGCTGCCCACTCAGGTGTTCTGTGGGAGCAGACATATATTCAATGCCTTGCTCAAAGATGAGAATAGACTATGGCTTGTTCATTTCTCTCACTGAGACTTTCACTGTGGAATAATTTACAGTTAAGATGATAAGTAACCTTTCTAGCTTTAAGAGTGTTAATAGAGTTACTGCCTCATAATGTACCTAGGTGGGCACTGGAGCAGTATATCTATAGAGTGCAGGCAGATGGCTCTTGAAGCAGCAAACTGTAAACCTACATTAAAGGCCCTATTTTAACTGCACAGGTGCAGTAACAAGCACAAAGTGGTTTGGTTTTAGCTGCCAGGATAACGTTGGCATCTGCACTCACAATTGCACCAGCAGAAAATTTAAATTTCCAGTTCTTGCAAGATCATACAAGGCAAAAATATATTGTGCCCTTCTGAACAAAGAACTAAGTGTACAAATTTTGAGGGACAATTTGACTTGCTAATACAAATGTTACTGTAAAATGTGGTCTTGTTAGATGTAATTGTGACCCCGTACAGCGTTGAATGCTGCAATCTTTACCTGCTCATTTGCCTAAGTTATGCCGTGCCCTCAATTAAAGCAGTTTTAAAAACAACTATCTCACTGTACCTTGCTGTAGCAGCTGTGCTCGGTGTGCTGGAGGCAGGGAGGTAGAGAGAAAGGTATGTAGTCTGACAGCCAGCAAGAACTTGAGACCACAGTCATCCAGTGTCTCTCCACCTGGTAAGAGAAGGACAGACAGCTCCTATTGATACTTTACAAAAAATAATTCCAGTATGAAGTAACTTAACTACTGCATTTCTATCCATCTGAAGAAACATTCTTTTCTAACTCAGTTCCCCTGCAGTACCTTTGCTCTTGCCCTGGCTGTCCTTGAGGTCTGTGCTTGTAGTAGCAATGGTGTCGGCCAGCGCCATGAGAGACATCTGCTCCATACGCGTTAATCCTGGCAAACTGGAGTGAAGAAGGTGGCTGGCCAGAACCTGGGCATGTTCTGGACCAAAGTATGTAGGACTGTACTGGGACAGGTCAATAACCTACAGGGAGGGAAAAAGACAGAGGACAGCCTATAAAAATGAATTACATGGTATCTCTCATTTTTGAGACAACACATAATATAAAGGGTTACGAAATAATGTTTTAAAGGGAAAATGTGTCATGGCTGGGTTCAAACTCACAACAAAGCAAACATATCTGTATGCGTATATTAACGCTACACATTTTTTCATATGCGACCCTTTGACAGCATCTACAGACTTAACCAATACAAGGCCGGATGTCTGAAGCATTAGATCACAATGGTGCTGTCCATTCTCATTTTTATAAACTTCTATCTCACCAAGCAAAAACCAGCAGATATTAACCTTGTTTCCCGTTTCCTCTTGATCACTGTCCAAAGGGTCCAGGTCCACTGTACTGGGTGTATGAAAGAGCTCATCATAAGCATCTGTGTGACTGGAACCATGTCCACTATCTCCACTCACACTGCCCACTTTACCTGTAAGAAGGCACAACGCAGAGCTAAGTTACACAAGACATGCACTTCACAGGAGACCTGAAGAAAAAAAATCCCCCCCTGCTGAGGAGACAGCTGATCAAATTAAAACACCAAGAAGAGGATTTCTTTAAATACATTTCAATTTTCATCCTTCTGACTTTGTATCCCCAGAGAGAGAATAGGGAAAAACTAAAAGACAAATGAGCAGGATATTACTCACAGTCTCTTACACTTTGAGGCAGCAATGGCAGTTGGTTTTCTGCAGTAAATACCTACCATTTCTCTGATTTTATTTGTTTACCTGTACTTTGGTAAAATTTTGATGTTTGTCAGGCTTTTACTACTCCTCAATTTTCACCCTTATCATTTCGCAGTAGAAAATCATTTTAATTTTATTAAATGGTCACTCAGAAGTGTAATCTTTCAAGGTTAGTAGTTCATCTCAAAGCAGCTCTATGTCCCATCTCATGTTAAAACTGTGTTAATGCATTCTCACAAGGTTTTGGTGATGTATCTTCATCAGCTGCCAGAAGAGCGTACAGAGGCAGGGGAGGAACAGAGCTTATCTCCGTGTAGTCTGAGGTGGAGCTTTCTGCTTTGCTGAACACCTTTGGGTCCCTGGCTGTGCTGCCTCCAGCGCTGATGGTTCGAGAACGCACACGCTTCTCTGGATTAGCGGTGTTGTCTCTAAGTGCCACAATTTCTCCAGCAATGCATTTAACCAGGTGGGAAAGGATGGCTTTGGCACGGCGAACCTTAAGATAAACAAATTACACGTTTATATTGTGAACGTAGGTCAACTGACATTTGCTTTTTAAAAGTAACCACAACAATTGTCAACACTGAGACAAATTCCATTCTTTTTGCACATATTGGTGTGTTTTATTTTAACTTTAAATTTAATTATATTAACTGATCTGTCATATCAACTGGAGGAGGTTCTTACCTAAAGGAAAAACTTATGAAAAGTACAGACAGTAGTTGAGTAATTACTTACCTTCCCTAGATCCATGAGCTCCAGTAACTGTACGGGATGGTACTGGGGCAGAGTTGTAAAGAGTTGGTGAGCTGCTTCAAAAAGACCTGAATCTTCCATCTCTACAGGCAGATCATAAACTGTTCTCTTCCCACTGAGTTTCTGTGCCAGGCTCATCATTGATCTTGTCAGGACCTTTTTGGGAGGGGCCAATGAAGATGTAGACAACCCAGGGTTGAGACCCTCCTCCTGGCTCTGTCTGACGGCTGAAATTATGGAGGAGACACTGCTGCTAATGTCTGTATCTTGGGCAATGGCCACATTGGGTTTGGGTGGTGCTGGGGGCTGCCACTGGGAGTACACATGCATTTCACAGTCCATGCCCACTACCAAGATGCCATCTCGCACCCAGGAGAGGGAGACTGGGATGGGTAATGAGCCTTCAACAGAGGAGACCAGATCAACTGATCGAAGTAGAACTAGACGAGACAAGCTCTGGTCTCTACTGGCATCAGATGACAGACCAAGCTCTGGAGGCTTCCCAGAGAGACGGCCGTACATATAAATCTTTGTCCCAAGGCTGACAGTCAGAACATGTGACCCATCTTCTTGGGAGACCCAATCCAAATGAACCAAGCTCTTACAAGTAGAACCTAGACAGTTGTCATTAGGTAAAGACAAGTCCATGTTACTTTGAACACTGGCACTTCCAATTGCACCACTGCTAATATCATAGTTAGCTGTGGGATCTGTGCTGTCCAGGACTATGATCTGCTCTAGAATCCACTGCGAACCACCAGTAGACTCACACTGAAAAATGCCAATGTGGACCAATGGTGCTTTAGGGTTTGCTGTGTTGGGGCTTGGAATGAGATTTGGGCTATGCTGTACATTAAGGGGTGGGGTCAGGTAGTTATTATAGGGGGAGGATGCCAGGGTAGGAGAAGAAGCTGACTGTCCATGAGAGTTCAGATGAGGTTTTGAGTTCAGACAAGTATTTGGCATTTGCCTGTAAGCAACCGCAATCCGCCCAGTGTGACAGCAGCTGACCTCTATGGGGCGACCTGGCACGCTTACTGCACTGCTGTTGGGAAGCCTCTCCTCCACTAGGAGAGGCCACTCCTCCCAGCGGTAAACCAAGCTGTCCATAGTGGGGGGCTCTGCTGCCATGACATTACACCTCCAGAAGCGCACCTTTCCATCAGAACAAGAAGTAGCAAGGAGGTAAGGCAAACGGTCAGCTGGCAGAGAACAAGATGCACTCAGGTGACCTAGGAAGAGAGTTGACAATATGCTATTAGGCAATGTTTTTTCTTCAGTTTTTTAACTGAAAAAATTAATATCTTTTCAGACAGGAACTTCCATAATTTCTTTGAATTGATTTGTTGAAGAGGTGACATGGTCAACACTGTTTAGCACCGTCACCTCACAGCAAGAATTCTCTGGGTTTGAATCTGCTATTTGACTGGACCTTTGTGCATGGACTTCTGTGTGTCTGCATGCAGCTTCCTCCTACAGCCCACTGACATGCAAGTTAAGTAAACTGGAGACTGCCCATAGATGTAACTGAGTGTGAATGGTTGTCAGCCCCGTCTCTCACCCAGTGTTAGCCAGAATCAGCTTCAACCATCTCCCCACAACACTCAACAGAACAAGTAATATATAGCAGCTAATGGATGGATGATTTGAAGTATTTTATCACTTTTCAAAAAGGTTTTATTGGATATATGATAAATGCAGATGACAACATAACTATCATTTACAAATAGGCTTAGGTCTTCCACAACTGAATCAAAATAACAGCGGCTACATGGTTTTTATAAAGTCTTAGGAGCTATGTTATACAGATACTTTGTGAGCATTATAAATGTACAGAGTTCTAAAATCATTATTCATTTTGAGTGGCATTTTTGTCAGTTTTCATTTTGCTTTCCTAGGATTAGAAAAATAGCTTTTGCTTAAAAGCTGAAAAGGTCAGTGTCATCAATCATTTCCAAACTAAAGGACCAATTCTTTAGAAATGGCAGTGAAGCACCTTAAAACTGGTGACAGTAAATTCCTCAGTATCTGCTGAAATTCTGTATCTGTGCTGTTTTATTAGACTGGCATACTTACTGTACTTGGTGGAATTCCACCCTCACAATACTGTTTGGGTGCAAATAGAAACAATTATTATTACTACTAAAATGAACACTAACACTGCTGCTACTACTACCAGTACTGCCCCTTTTCCTACATGAGCTGTTTACTTGACCTCCAAGCTGTGATATTTGTCTCCAGCATCTCACTACCAGAGAAAATTTGTGGGCTTATTTGTATGTCAGCATGTGAACTCAGTGTCTCTCACCTGCTGAAGGTGTAACACTAATGGCTTCCACCCCTTCTGGCAGAGCCATCTCTTGACTGTATAAACTGTGTGTTGTAAGGCTGAGGCGACAGGCACTCTGCAGATTGGAAGTGCAGGGTTTACTCTTCTGAGTTACTGAAGAACCAAACATGCCAAAGTTAAACTGAGGGCTGTTCACAGGAGAAGCTGTGGTGGCATCCTTCTCTATTGTGGTGTCCTCTATGGGGACACAAACAAGAAGAAAGTGTTTAGAAAATTATGTACTACCATAACAGTGAATTCAGTTCACAGAATATTCTTAAACCACGACTTTTTTGTGTTAAAAAGCAATGACTATTTCTACATGGAAAAAAAAAATAATCAAAAATTTACACCAAAGTTATTGCTCACTAAGGGAAAAATCACAATTTTTCAGGAGGCTTCAAGTTGTCGTGACTATCTGAGAAGTAAAACTGTCCTTTAAGATGACTTTCTTTAGGGATTAAAGATAACTGTGGGAGATAATTAAAATGTTTCCCAATTCCTGTGACTTTTAAATCAAGTTTCAAGTACCCACCTATGGTGACATGTCGGGCAGCCAGATGGAGATGCCACATGTGGAGGAGCGAGCGACCTGTCGGGCTCAATTCGACCACTACCAGGAAAAAACGTGCTGAGAAGGCTGGCCTGCTAAAAGCTGCTTAGAAACACGCACAGATATACAAAGAATATAAATACAAACAGTGCCCATATTAATGTGTTAATATATCAATGTGAAGGTAGTAAAAATGATTGATATTAACCCTTAAAAATATCTAAAATTCAAAGCACTGAGTTAGAAAACATAATTATGTCTATACCAGTGTGAGGAGAATCAGGAGATTCCGGTTTGCTCTCTGTTCTATCACTGCCGAGAATCAGATTCTCCTCGAAAACATGCAGGAGCTGGGTCTCCTTTCCTTGCTGTAGAGAGAAACAGTTGTTAGGATCAGACTACATCAGATGCAGACAATGAAATAAATGCTTCATCTACTGTGGAAAAAATCTGTAGACACACAGACACAAGTTGTGCTCATGTTACACAATCACATGCGCACACACACAAACTGCCTGAGGGCATGAGAGAACGTTTGTTCTACATCCGTTTTAGTTTTTTCATGGTTAACCTTTCACAGAGAGTCAGAAGTGTGCTGAAAAATGTTTCCTGCTACAAATGCGCTTAAATTCAGCAACAGCTTTTACATATATTGTAGTTCAATGTTTTATTTAAAGGAAAGAGGTTCTGTTAACTTTTTCATCCAAGAAATTTACAGTCTGTCTCTGCTGTTAGATAACAAGAAATTGTGCAAGAGCATGGGAAATTTGTCAGAATATGCTCCGGTTGTCCTGGGCTTCATGTATACTTACAAAGTCAGTAATGGCATCTAGCTCTATAATACACCCTGGTTTTGCTGTGGATTGCTGACTGATGATGTTGAATACCTCCCCAACATATTTCTGAAATTAAACAAACATAAAAACAAAAATCAGAAACTATGTGAGAATATTTACACATTAGTTTAAACACACAGTTAGCATGGCAAATGCATTTTTGGAAAAAAATAAAATAAAATACTGGGTTGTAATAGATAAAAAAGCTACAAGATATTTGCCCAAAGAAATTCATGAACTCCTTATATATAATAAAATAAGAATGATGCCAATTTTTAAAAATAAATATAAGAATCCTGGAAAACCTCATCCAGGGACACAAAGTTGGTCCGCGCCGCTGGGGCAAATATGTTGACTGAGAGAAAACAGATGAGCCAAGATGCTATCTACCTCTGGTGTCCTCAAGGCATTGTGGTGTGAGGTGGTGAGGAGGAGAGGAAGGAGGAAGTAATGTCACTGACTGCCCACTGGTTCAGGGAGCCATCGGCATGTTTGGAGATCATAAGGACGTTTTGGGTAAAAATGCTTAGTCAAAGACTGCTGTTGGCTGCAGCATTTCTTTGACCTCTGGAGCTTATTAGAGCAGATTTTGTTCAAAAAACTAAATATCAACCATCACTTCTTACTGGATTCAGCTGTACTGGGTTAGAAGAATCACTGCCAATGATCTTATTTCTCATGTTATTTAAGTGTGCTCCTCTGCAATTTTTCTGCCAAGTCACCCAAAGCTGACACTAAAGTGGCAAGACAACAATTTAACAACACCTCTTACCTCTGAGGGTACAAGGGGAAACACTTGTGTTATTAGTGTGCATAAAAATTTGTCACTGCAATGTTGACTATAGCCTACAGAGTTCATTTGCATTTGAGAATCCTGTTTGATCACTTACTGACATCTCAGGGTTGGAGAGCTCACTCAGGAGTTTCTTAGCTTCAATGACAGCCTGATATAGCCTGAGGGAGTGGCCATCACTAGCCACAAAGCAGGCGCTGGGAGAGTTACAGTACGCACCTAAACAGGAAAAGAAAAAACAAAATTGAAAGGTGTCTATTTTCTAGCAGGGTTTCAGAGGTGAAATGACTCATATTCACTGGATTTTATGTCCCAACGCTAGCCTCATTTGATTAGTTATTCAGAAAAAAAACCTGCATTTCCTTCACAACTGAACTGTGCAAGTGAAGCTGTGCTCACTAAAATATCTAACTGTTAATGAATGAGAATAAAGTACTCAGCAATCTCCAAACAATAAAAACATTTCCTCACCTAAACAGCTGCTGGGAATGAGTGTGGGCAGCCAGGCTACATTAGCAAATGCTGACGCATGGAGAGAATTGATCCGAGCTAGCTCAGAGACTCCTCCAGACAAAGACAGTGGTCCAACAGGATCTACTCTCCATAAAATCAGCTCGCTGTATATTGCATTTGGATCCTGGGAAACCCCACCCAGCGACATGCGGCTGGGACGTGACCCTGGGGGCAAAGACTTTAACCGAGAGAAAGCAGAGGAGTGGGCCTCTGGGTGAGCCAGGATGCTATCTACCTCTGGTGTCCTCAAGGCATTGTGGTGTGAGGTGGTGAGGAGAAGAGGAAGTAATGAGTGACAGGCCAGGTCATTGAGGTGGAAGCGGTGGCCACAGTACCGTGACTTGTGAGAGATACTGAGTACAGTGGAGAAAGCCGAGTCCTCCGCAAAACTGACTGCCCACTGGTTCAGGGTGCCATCAGCATGTTTGGAGATCATAAGAACGTTTGGGGTGAAAATGCTTAGTCGAAGACTACTGCTGGCTGCAGCTTTTCCTTGACCTCTGTAGCTTATTAAAGCAGATTTGGTTTGAGGCAATGTACTCCCAGGCGGTCGCTGTCTGCCATGTTGGATAGCCAGATCCACGTTCTTGTTGCATGCATACATAACAACACTGTGGCTCAGGGATATTGCATCTCCTGCAGGGAATGCTACGGGGATACGGGACACAAACGACACCTGAGAGAAAGAGAGATATCAAAGCAATGAAATCTCCAGCAACTAAAACTTACGGCTCTGGGTTAATGATAAGAAGGATTCAGTCAATCAAGAAATTATATTTTGGAATGAAATAAGCATGGAGCTGTTTCATAAGCATAATAAACCGGCTGAAGTTCCCATGTCAATGTGGTAATGAAACAGATGGCACCGAAAATCATGACCTAATTTTCCAAGAGTTAGCTCAAAACAAAGGGTTGAAATTGTTTAATGCTCCATTCAGAGGCTGGGTGACAACTGACTCTGAAATTAACTGAGACACTAAGAAAGTGGTAAGTGATGGAGACTCACTTGCCGCTAAGTGTAAAGAAGAATAATGTTCAGCGTAATGTTATTATGCCAATAATAATGTGGTCCTGTCTGTTTTATCTAATTAAAGCAGTTAGGCTCAATCAACCTAAATATTAATGAAACTTGGGATTGTTTTAGCTGTTTGTCTTTCCTGACTGACTGCCATGTCACAAGATTCTCATTATTCACATCTTACAAAAATGCATCAAGGGACTTTTTAATTTGATATGAAGTCACACATAATTAGAATATAACTGTTTGAACAGCTGGATGAGAAGCCATTAGAACAGGTAAGAGCTAGACCATCGAGGCTGTCAAAATGATACACAACCTTACTGAGAAGAAAGATTAATTCTTTCCCAAGGAAGCACTTATTGAAATTGTGAATACATACAAGTCACTTGAAATGGTGACCGAAGGAAAGTGTGCTTAGTTTACAGTGTACATTACACTTAAACAACTGTACTTGTGTCTTTGTATTTCTTTATCAGTCTTAAAAATGGGACAATGCAATTTAGAAAAAACAATGGGATTATAAACGTGTAGACAGATAAAAGGTGACAGATTAAGTTTGTTCATAAAACATCAACATATATTATTTGGCTAATAATATTCAACTGTTTTACATAAACATAAGCCACATCAACAAAATGTACCTGAGCTTGTCTGAACATTCCTGGCTGGTATTCATCTAACCAGTCCAAATTCCAGACTAACAGGGAGCCGTCCATGGGATGAATACTGAACAACATGTCTGCCCCTTTATTCCACTCCTCTAACAGCACATCCACCTGGTGCTCCACTGCTGCCAGAGGAAGCTCCACAGCCTGAGGACCTTGGGTGTCACTTGGCCTGCTACTGTTTTCTTCATCAGAGTTATCATCATCTTCATGCTCTGGAAGAGAACACAAATTATAATGTAGGTCATGCATACATTTTTTTTATATTCAGGAAATCAATTTGGAAGACAAAGCAGAATGCATAGTGTATACAATGTCTGATTTTTATACTGAAAAGTTCTATTTTGACAGTGTTAATCAAGTGTAGACCCCTTCAAAGAATGCCTGACCCAAATATTCTTCTGTACCTTCATGGGACCCTTCATTCTGTTGCTCCAGGTTGCCTTGGAGCTGCTTCAGGAAGACTTCCATAGCTAAAGTGAAATGAAGCTCTTTGTTGTTGAGCCAGTGGACGGTAAACAGACCTCCAGGTTCTTCGTCATCCACGGCACTCAGAGAGGAGATGGAGGGCAGCAGAGGAATGTCTGTGATAAAGATGGTATATGAATAAGTGAGAAAGACATTCCAATTAGATGGGGGCATGCAGGACCAAAAGACTTCTGCTGGAGCAAATTAACTTTTTACACAAGTACGGCTTGAAGTATGCTAAAAACACACTTCATACAAATGCAGTCCTACAGAATTCTTAGCCTCAAGGCAGAAGGAATCTGCAAGATTTTTCAGGCCAAATTATGCTGCCCCAGAAAAGCAAATAGAGGAACAAAATGAAAATGCCTTACTTTTACAATGAGCAACCTTAACCAAGCACAAAAGCTCACTGGGGTGCTAAGAAAACAACCTCTGGCAATCCACAAAATGTACAGTACTTTAACCATACAAAATACAGAGGTGAAGCCCTTTGACCAACAACTGATTTTATTCAAGCAAAGCTGTCACTACACAGTACTCAGTGGGTAGAGAATTACTAATATATTGCGATACTGTAGGTGTTTTTCCTTCTCTTTAAGAAGTACAGTTTGCTATCTTGTAGTTTCAAATTCCTCACTAAATTTACAGAACTCTCTGTTACTAGTTTATATACTAGTCACAGAAACTAATGTGTTCAACTCTAACCTGTGGCTGGGTTGATGCTGGCAGCAATGTGGAAGTGGCAGAGAGCAATGGCATGGGGCATATTGTTGGTGCTCTTCTTGTGACCATAGTGTCCACTGTGATGGTCAGGCAGGCAGCGAGACAGAGAGGGCTGGGGCCCATTCCGATGAAAGGAGTACTGCCATGACTCTAGAAAATTCAACTGTGAGGGAAACATTCATTACTGAAGTTAGACAATTATGAAACTAAACTTAATGTGTTGTGACTTTTCTGAGAACATGCTGTATATTTCAGATACCAAATAATTGGTTGTTTGCAGTTATATAAATGAAATCTGTATTTCATGAATGTAGACTGCCTTGACTTTATCAATATACTTTTTTCCATAGATTACAACATTATGTACAAATCACAGAGACTAAGGAAACTTTTATGAATATCCAAAGATTTACTAGATCTTCTTAAAATAACCTGAAAGCAGAGCTTTATAGGGTGAGACAGAGAAGTAAAACACAACAGTTCCCCATTACCAATTTAAGGCTGACTCAGTGACGCAGATTAAACATGCTGTTGGAGCTTGTTGTGTATGAATCTGTGTCAACTAAATAAACATCACTACTCCTCGGCCATTGTGAGCTGAGCAATTCTATTTTAGTGATTAGGTGTTCCCCTTAGAGATGGGAATTTAATTTAACGGTACTGATGTCTAAACATCATTTAAACTAACAGCTCAATTTGTCCAGAGCCAAAAAGAAACAGGCAGCATGGAAGAGTGGTGTTGTAAGGGAAATGAAATTAAAACTTAATTTGGTACTTAGGTTATGTAGTTAAAATTAATGTGCAACTAAACAGTAATGTGTAAAGACCTATAGTTTTAGACTTCATGAATGCTTACAGCAAGATATTAACCTATAACAGCAGTCTCATAAGAATGACAGCCAAGAATTTGAGAGACAGATCATCTTTGAATTTATGGAGATTACTGAACATAATAAAGGTTCTTATTTGATGTATGTGCTCATCACACCTGCTAAGAAGTCTTTTGTCAATCACTGATAAGAAATGCAGTTGTGTACAGAGCCAACGCATATACTTCTAAAGCGTTTTATACCAAAGAAAAGAAAAGTTTAATCACAGCGGAAAGCCCACTTGGGTCTCCTCCAGAGGTTCTCAAACACCATCCTAATCAAGAAATTCTGGACTTAATTAGCTTCATTAAATTTTGCAAGAAATCTTGTTCTGTTTATCCTACCCCGAGGCGGTTTAAAACAGACCTTTCTCAGTATTTTCCATCCATTCAGTTTTGGAGGGAGAGAGAAACCTGAGTCTACTGCCAGGGTCATCTAGCACAGTCTGATTTTTAATGAATAATTCAGCACATTTACTCTTACAGACTTTCCTCAAGGCACAGGAGAGAAATTCATATACCCTTTGTCCTGTATTCTCATGTGCCCTGAGCTCCACAAGTGCCAGTGAGACTCATACCCATATTAAAATGCATTTAAGTATTGTGTTTGGGGCCTACACTAGCTAGACTGTCAACAACAACCTAAGTTACTTAAAGCAGAGAACACCAACATTACAAAAAGGTAAGCTAGCATCAACAAAATGAAACAAAAACAACCATCAAAAGTCAAGGTTATAATGTTTAGGCGTTGCACAGATTATAGAAAGGAGGCTAATATTCTTCTCTGATGCTTGTCTTAAGTCCTACAAAGCTTCAAAAACCACCTTCATGTCTGATAGTACAGTTAAAAAGGAAAATTAATTGGTTAAGCCTCTGTTTTTCCCCATCGCTTTTCTCAGTCTCTCTTAGCTATTTTTCTCTCCTCTCTGCCATTCCCTAGCATGATACATAAGCAGGGGTGAAAGCAAAATCTGGCTGCTATTTCAGCTTCATCTGTGTCATTTATTTCCCACTACAAAGAAAATTATGGCATTTCTTTTTGCATTTAGTTACTAGCTTAGCTTTTGTTAACGATTTTTTGGACATAGTCCCTGGAGATGACAGATCTTCAAACTGTCTGATATGTCAAATTTTGACAATGGTATCTACATAGGAAGAAAGAATGACATGTGTACACTTAACCATGTACATATATCTACTAACTGATAATGCTATTTAAATTAGCATACATTTTATTACATTTACATTATAATGGTCTTTTAAGTTCAACTTTATGATGTTATTTGGGTTCTAATTATTGAGTTTTATCTCCATGAAGTTTATCATAAGTTATATAATACAGGTTAATCAGTTTTTGCTGAAGCTATGGTAGACAGGTATTGACTCAATTTTATGGTCATTTGGCAGCTCCATTCAAAGTTCTGTTGAATTATACCCTGTTATAATGAGAAGTGTTATAACCAGCAGTGTTTCTAATATACTGCCCACCCCATTTATATGACCAATGTTAGATTACATAAAAACGCAATACAGTTCAGCAGAAATACACACTACAGCCTCCAAAATGAAGTAAAGTTGAGTCAACAAAGTTTCATCAAAAACTGAAAGCTAAAACCTCCTTGAAGATACAATTTACTGCAGGACTGTTGTATTGGACTGCATTAGTTTTACTGTAGCTAGCTGTAAGTAAATGAAATGGCAAGTGAATGTAATGTATTCATTTTAGCAAAACATTCATTAGAGTTGCCCCATTCCACCCTTTCTGACAAAGAGCTGCTTACTTCCTGTATGGTTTTTCCTTGCGTCTTCCCATTGCAGGTGTGTTTCTTAGCAGGACCAGTACATCTGTGTGTGTCACTGTGTTGGCCAGAAGCGGGGTTGTTATGGTGATCAGACAGGACACTGTCACCCGGCAACAACGTCTCTGCCCAGAGCCGACATACACTGTCCTTACAGCAGGTGAGAAGAACATTACACACTGCACCTCTGTTAGGGGAAAGCAAAGAAGGAAAGAGAAGAGGAAAAAAATTAATGGAAAAAGGTGCGGACTGAAGTCCACTGGAGGGCACTGAACTTGTCAGCAATGATGTTAATCATCTAAAGCTTATATATAGCCCTACTCAACAGCAGGCCAAAGGAGAAACACTTATAGAGGGATAAGATAAACTAAAGATTAAAAATTGAAGGTTAACAAGAGTAGAAATGACACCGATGACTGAACCTAATCTTGACCTTAATGGAAAGGCCATGATTACAGAAGATAACATAATGGTCTGATTGAAAAGAAAAAGGTAAAATACGTGGAATATATAAATAGCAGGATGCCAGAGGTAGAATAAAAGACAATGTGTTATTATTGCATTTGATTATTGTAAGGCCATGAGCAAAGCAGTATAACCCAGATCCCTACTTTATTACATGCTAAAGCCAAATTTATAGCAGCAAGAAAGTATAGTGTCAATTCTGCCTTAATATTACACTGTCTTACTGCCTCTGGACTAATATACTGATAGTAGAAGAACAATAACCTCTAACTAGTCATTATCAACATAATATTCTGTCACACCACTATTTCAGTTAGAGAAGAATTACATGTCATGTAACATTGGCAATGTTGTAACATCTAGGGTAAAAATGGGGAGCTATAGTATAGTGTGAAAACGCTATACAGTGTCTAGCCCAGGGGGTGCCCAATACGTCGATCGCGATCGACCGGTCGATCGCAAAGGTAGTGTTGGTAGATCGAGTGCCATTCAAAAATAAATTAGATGCATCTGGCGTAAAACACGTGCCAAATGTTAACATGGTCAGTGTGACAATTCGCTGTGGCGACCCCTAACGGGAAAAGCAGAAAGTGACAATCATTCATATAGAGCAGGGGTGGGCAAACTTTTTGGCTCAGGGGCCACATTGACTTTTAAAATTTGACAGACAGGCCAGGCCAGCACCAGATGCATACATATAAAACATAAACATATAAAAGGCATTACAGTGTTAATACTTACATTCACTTTTAGTGGGAACAGTGTTGTTGATCACCCCTTTTTTGCCAGTGCATCGAAGTCTGATATTGTATTCCTTTAAAACCGCAATGGTTTCTTGGCAAATAAGACATACAGCCTTTGACAGGACTCCAGTAAAAAAATCTTTAGCACTCACTGTCAGCTTTTCTTTTCTTTGGCCCACTCATTGTTGCAGATGGGTTCAGAGCAGTAGCAGAGTAATAACTGAGAGTAGCCCTGGCTCCGCAAAATCAAGTCAATGTATCACCGCGCCTAATGCGCCACCTGGTGGAACGTCAGGCATTACAGGACAAGGTCAAATGAATGCAGTCATAATTATGATTATGACTTGATTAGGGCAATCCTGTACCAATCCTGGGCGGGCCGGATTAACAGGACCAACAGGCTGGATGTGGCCCGCGGGGGCGAGCGTTGTCAG